GCTGAGGTATGAGGTCTCCTAGAGAGAAGTGATTGTATTTTGTGTTTTTACATGTACTTTCATCAGCTGATGCAGCTGAAGGACAGTGTCCTCTGTAAGTAACACATCAGGAGACAGAGGAGTGGTGCTTTGTAATAAGCCTTCCCTAGCATTTTTTTTTTCTTTTTCTTTTTTCTTCTTCTTCCTTTTTTTTTTTTTTCCCCCCCATAGTGAGGATTACTGACTTTCAGACAACTAGGAAAGAAAGATAAAGGGACGTCCAATGGGGGTACCTTTATTTGGTGATAGCAAACCCTTCTATTTCCGGATCTGGAATGGACTAAGCCAGAAGTTGCAAGGCAAAAAGTCCTGGGATAAACATCTGGATGAAATATACTTACTCCAGCAGAAAAGGTATGGTGCTCTTTCTTGTCTACCCTTGCTTCTGCTGCTCTCTCCTTGTAGCTCACTCTCACTCCCTTCCCTTAGGCTGTTCTGCCAGCAAACAAGCTTTGAAAAGACTTTAGAACACTGTTCTCTATCAGGCAACCTCTTTCAAGCTGGAATGTTTCTGGAGTTCCAGTGTTATCTGCTTTCACATATGCACTTACTAAATCTCGATTGAATTACTCTCAGTGCAGGACTTCAGTCACAAATTAATAATGTGTGCCTTTTTTCTTTCCTGCTTTATTAGTAAAGCTCACAAGGAAGTGCATGAGTTGGGTTTTGTTTTGCTGTCATTAGAAATGTATGTGGCACTTAAACTGCAGTCAGTTGTATTTGAAATGATGGCTATTTAAAGGGATTCTGTTTTTCTTTTATTTCTCTGAAGGTTGCCCTTATTATAACATAGAATGAGCTTAACATTCTACAATCTGATGATCATTTGCTTTGTCAGTTTGACTGCCATTTCTAACCCCCTTGGATCAGGTGCAATTATCTGTAATTCAAAGAATGAATCCTCCTAGACTTCATGTTATCAAGAAGATTGCTTGTGTTTTTGTGTGTCATACTGGATCAAGGCTCTTTGCTACTGTTCCGTTGTGTTTCTCCTTCCACACACTGTGGTGCAGGAGTATTCATAGAAATCCAGCTGAATCTGTTTTCATTTTTCTCGTTTCTGCACGCACAAAAACTGCATTAGTCCAGTAAAAAATTGCTTCTGGTCCTCCACTCCTTTTTTTCTAAATTTCCTTATAAAACTCCAAGCATCTCTGAGGAGAAAAATGTGCCTACATGGAACAAATATACAAATACACCCAGACATGTGCAGGAATAACCTGAATATGAACAAATGTCTTTATCTGTATTTAGGGAAAGAACTTCAAAATAATCATTTAACTCCTCACTGAAAAAAAAAAAAAGTCTGTATTATTTTATTTCAAAGAAGTGAAACTTAAATACACTTAAAATAGAAAGGATGGTAGCAACAATTGTGTGTCTATAGAACTCTGAATTGTTTACATTTGTGTACATGCATGAAAAACATAAGTAACTGAAAAATAAGTTCTCAGTAGATTCTGTCATCTCCAACTGAACACATGCAAGCTAAAAGTCTGAAAACATCAATATTTTTACAGTTGTAACATCATCTTCCCAATTTTAAATCATATAGATGTGGGAGAAAACTCTGGAGCCTTCTAATCTGATCACTAGCCCAAAGCTGAGCTATTGCCAACTCTAAATCACACTGCTTTGGCTCTGCGTAATTGAGTCTTGAAAGCCTCCCAAGAGAGAGATTCTACTACCTCTTTAGGAGTCTGTTACAGTGTTATGGTGTTTTTGGTGTTTTGCTGATAAAGGTTGGTTGTTTTTTTTTTTTTTTTTTTTTCCCCACTAATATTCAGCCTGAACTTTTGAATTCATCACTTGGTGTTGTAGCTCCTTGTTTTGCCTTATTGGTAATTTGCTATTACCAAGGGGCCAACATATGGTCCCTTCCTATTTTTTCACTCTTCTTCTCATAGGCTACTGTTAGAATGCCTCACAAGCCTTCCCTGTCAAGTCCAGCTACCTCAACCTTTCTTCATACTGAAAGTCAGTGGTAAATATGTTACTATTTATCTACTGGGCTCTGCTTTCATGATTTTGTGTGTCATGACTCTGTGCTAGAATGATGGTTTGTTTGTTTGTTTGTTTGTTTGTTTGTTTGTTTTCTGAACCACAACTGATGATGATAAGGCCTGGAAGCTAGCTGGGTAATTCTCACATTCACTGTTGTTGCCATTTATTCATCATGTGTATTGGTTGCATCTTGTTGGCATTTGATCTCAGCTTTATCCATAGTAGGGTGTTTCTTTGGCTCAATCCTGCACTGTGTAACATTCCCCAAAGTGACATCCAAGTTTAGGAAATGTGATACAATCTTCTTATGTCAGAGAGGACTAAGAGTTTACTTAGCCTTACTCTGCTGGTTTCTTCCTGTTGAAGAATCTTCTTACTTAACTCATAGTTCTGTGTAAAGTTCTGGTGACAGAGGTCACAACTCATAGGAGCTTTCTAGAATTATCTTTGGAATTAAACATAGCCTGGAGCATATGAACATTTAAAAAAAAGAAAAAAAAAAAAAAAAGCACAGTTCATAACCAGGTTTTAGTAAGTAATAAATATTTATGAAAATGCGGGGCTGATAAGGGTGAAGAAGAATCAGATGCCTGTCACAGCCAATAGATCTTCCAGAAGTGCTAAGAGTCATTGGTTTGTTGGTTTTGTTGTTGTTGCTGGTTCTTGGTGGTGGTAGTCATGATTGTTTTGTTTGTTCTTATCTGGCTTTTAGTGTTAAAAAGTGTTTAAAAGTTCCAAGGAAACAGAATCTCCCTAACATGTAATTTTAGAAACTCCACCATATGTGAATTACACTGTTCATTAAAAATAATCAAGGAGTAAACTAAAGCAATTGACTGCATGAATCCATAATGTTAAGCTTTATTTTTCTTTTTGCTACTGCCTGCCTTTATAACTTGGGTTGATAAGTTACCTATATGTCTCTTCTATCTCACAGCTGCTTCTTAGAAGTTAGTGGTATCAGCTGACTTTCCTGGGATGCTATGAGACTTCATTATTCTAATAACAATAAATGTTTAATCTATGTGGTACATTTCAACACAAATATTGAAGCCCTTTTGCACATAAATTAAATGGAGATATCTGCATTTTAAGAAATAATGCATTAGAGGTACTTGGAACAGTTAACATACCTTGCAGAGAGCAATCTTCTTATGGCTGGCAGAAGTGGCTCCAGCTGTGCTGCGGTGGAAACCTTGTAACCTCTTTTGTTGCCTTAACTTTTTGTCACTCTTCAGTCTCACAGACATTAGTGAAATGCTTTGCCTACTTTTTTTTTTTTTTTTTTTTTTTGTGGAAATAAGCATAAACAAAAGTTAGCTTAGTTTAATGTTATTGAACTGGGATGCTTAAGTTGTTCCTGGACACAGAAAGCTTTTGCCTTGTTGGCAAATCTTTCCCAAGCAGACAGTGAATGAGATATGTTATAATAGTTTTGCTTTTCTTTTGTCTAAATAATGTTACTGAATTTTCTGTGCACAAATTAGTGTACCACTCTTATCTTGAAATCCACAGTGCCTATTAATATTAATTGGTTCCTTTGCTTCCAAAGATGACAGTGAAATTAAGATGCCAGTTCCCAGTTCCATCTGTAATACTTCTTAGTAATGGTTCTCATGAGCAGTCAAGGTGGAAAGAATAGACTTTAAAAACTCTACTGTAACGTGTAAAATAAAGCCAAAGGGATCACTCGCAGCATTTTTAGTCATTTTATTCTTATGCTATTATGATTTCATCATAATGGAAATTTTCAGTCCAATAACAGAAAGCAAAACCTAATAATCTCAGGTGTAAAGGTCCTCCAGAATTCTCAACACACAGATAAACACACATCTGACCCCACTGCCCAAGACGTGGCTTAGCCTCACA